TTAGAGTGTGTGACCAGGCAAGGAGGTCTCCTGAGTCTGAGGTTGCCCTTGTAGCTCTGTACATGAAGAATGAACAAGTTGGTCCACCTTCTACTAGCCCAGGTTGCTCCAAGCTGGCCTTGGACACATCCAGGGATGTGGCAGGTACAACCTCCCTGTGCAGTGAATGACAAACACGACTAAAATGCAGAAGGTGGAAGATCTTTCCTTACCCTTGGCAAGGAGGTCTCCTGAGTCTGAGGTTGCCCTTGTAGCTCTGTACATGAAGAATGAACAAGTTGGTCCACCTTCTACTAGCCCAGGTTGCTCCAAGCTGGCCTTGGACACATCCAGGGATGTGGCAGGTACAACCTCCCTGTGCAGTGAATGACAAACACGACTAAAATGCAGAAGGTGGAAGATCTTTCCTTACCCTTTGAATTCCTTCAGAGCGAGCCATGTGTGCACTACAGGGGATGTTGACAAGGTGGTTGCAGGAAGGATAAAAGTCAAGTTACACAACTGTGTAGGATTATACAATGATCTGCCCCTTGGTGACTCAGGTGACTTTATGATCTGGTGGTGGAAGTGAACGAATAATTTGTTTTAAACGGATGGAAAACATTTCTGTGGCTACTAGAGACGTTTAGGTTATGTCGTTGTGAGCCACGTGAGCTCGAAATACAATAGAAACGATTCAGCCATACAGGCTTAGAATAAGAATACCTGGTGTTTAATCCTAATTTTGCCACAGGCATCTTGACCTTGAATTAAACATACTTGTTCACCTCCAGGCACTTGAAGCAGTGGCAGCAGGAGCAGAGCCTTGAGGAGACTCAGTGATCACAGTGGGTGGGATTGCCAAGGCCTAAAGCAAAGGAGAGGAGGGGGAGGCTTTTTTTGGTTCTTCGAGTGGCTGTTAACCTAATAACCTGTGCAAATCCAGCCATGCAAAAAGCTCTGAATTCAGGAGGAAAGTCGTTTTGGTGACTGCAGGCACGAGAAGGTCCCGTGCAAGGCGCTGAGCCACGCGCCGTCTCCTCTGGGATGTGCTCGCCGAAAGAAATCTCTCCTGCTTGTGTAAGCACTGGGAAAACAAGCAGACACTTTATACTCTAGAAAAGCCCAATAAGCCTCAGGAAATTCCGACATTCTTGATTTTATTTCGTGGCACAGGACTGCAGGGTGTGTTTGTGAAAGATGAGCAAGGTTGCCCTTCTCCAGCCCAGCGCCGCGGACTCGATAAGCCCGAGCTGAATAGCTCATTGTTCCCTGCGGGAGCCTGATCAGCTGTCACTGTTCCCCTCCAAAACACTGAGTTTATTTATAAAGAAAAAGTGCTGATATCGCATTTCATCCTAAAGGCAAAGTTGCTGCTTCTTGCTGCTGGTGAAGAGAGCTGTGTGTGAAGTGTGTCCCACCTCGAGGACCAAGAGCTGGAGCTTCGTTGTGGTCGTGGAATTGAAATGCTTGTGCTCTGCTGATCTTCTGCTCTTTAAGAGCTGCTGGTGTTTTTGGTGTGGTTCTTTGTGCTTCTACTTTTGCTCCTCATGGTGGTTTCCCAACTGAGAACATGACTGATGGAGAATGTCCAAGTTTGCCAGGTTGTCACCCTCAGAAAAAAAATCCCTCAATTGTAGCACCAAGAGGGATGGGTGGTCAACCATCACTGCAGTCTGAGAGAAGTGGAACTACCAAATAAAAGTGCTAATCGAGGTCGTCTTCAAGCTGGAAAACCCCCACATTTGTGCAGATTGGATTTTCTTGGCAAACCTAACTAGGAGCTGTGTTTGTACACACATGTTTTGGGTTTTGGAGTCCCTAAAGGTTCAGGTTTTCTTCATTGCAAATCCTGGATCTTCTAAAACCATTCCCACAGATGTGAGCACGTTCCAAGGCAACTGATACTCACAGTGCATGGCAAGAGTGAAGCTGAGGAGGTCCAGATGGTTTGCTTTCCCTGGGCAGAGGGACAGGCACACTGAGGAGGCCAAGCTGGTCCCTGGGATATGGTGTATTTGGGGAATTGGCAATGAAGGAATTGATTAGAAATTGTCTCTGGGAGGTGATTCCTCCTCATCTTCCACTGTGGGTGCTGCAGTCACAGTGCCTAGATGTGAGGAAAGCTGTGTGTGCTGGAAACCTCAGTGTTGCTTGTTTTATTGCTGGTTCTGAGTTCAGCTTGGAACAACACATCTTGGAAAACCTTTGGGAAGAGCAACACTGACAGTCAAGCAATGGCAGGAATCTCTACACTCTGAGTGCTCAAAGACCTGTAGATGAAAGTGCATATTTTATTGATTTCATGTTGAGTTTATTGCCTGTGTAAAAGCCAAATAACCTCTGCTGGCTGCAGCACTGAATATTTCTGCGTTTTTAGGCTGTCTGACACATTTCTGCTGTGTTTTCCTGCCCTGTTTGACCAGGAGTGAATCATTTCACTACTCTGTCCCTCAAATTCAGGGTCAGTAGGATAAGGAGAACACTTGGCTAATGTGAGAAGCTTTCCTAGTTGTAAACTGTTTGAAAACTGTGTAAAATATTGTGTGAATATAGATATATTGGTAGTAATTATGCCATAATTATGATGAATATGCATTAATAATTAATCTCATTAATGAGGCTATGAACACTTCTATCTGTGTGTTTTCTGGGGTCCTTTAGATGTCGAGATGTTGCTTGCAGATATTTTAAAAGGAGAAACATAGAATCATAGTATTTTAGGGGTTGCTGTGTAAAATATTGTGTGAATATAGATATATTGGTAGTAATTATGCCATAATTATGATGAATATGCATTAATAATTAATCTCATTAATGAGGCTATGAACACTTCTATCTGTGTGTTTTCTGGGGTCCTTTAGATGTCGAGATGTTGCTTGCAGATATTTTAAAAGGAGAAACATAGAATCATAGTATTTTAGGGGTTGGGTTGGGAAGTGACAAGGTTGGGGCAGCCACAGCCTCCCTGGGCAACCTGTGCCAGTGCCTCACCATCCTCACAGGGAAAACCTCTGCCTAATATCTAACCTAAATTTCCTCTCCTTCAATTTGAACCTGTTACCCCTTGTCCTATCATTGCAGTTCCCAACACAGAGAAGCAGTGTTCCTGGAAATTATTCCCTGATGGGAAGTGCTGTGATGTTGGTTCTCCAAAGGGACTTGGTTTATAATGAGAACTGCCCAGTTGGAGCCCCAGTAACCAAACCAATCATCCCAGATTGCTGCCTTCAGGGAGTGCCCCAGAATGTGCAATACTTTGTTTCTGCATCAGGAATAGTCTGTGAAGGAATTGGCTCGAAATTCCCTGCAGTGATTCTCTGTGCTGACGTGGGGTATTGCAGCATTCAGCCCTTCTTTCCAGACTCAGATTCAGTACATTTTTAAGCAGTGACCACTCGTTCTGCATGCCAAAAAAAATGCACTTGACGCTTGTAACTGATGCACTTTTCAGCAGTAAAGCTTTGCTGCTTGGGACTGCAGGTTTGAGGATGAATTCCCTGCTCCTGGTGCATCCCACATGCAATCACAACCATTTGCTGTCTGCAGATTGAGTTAATCATCCTCCCGGAGCTTGAAAAATAAACATATTTTTGAACTCTATTTGATGGTGTTGTCTCTAATGGGATTCTGTTTAATCTTTAGTGCTTTTATTTGTTACAGAGATCCGTGCCCAATTGGTAGAGCAGCTGAAATGCCTTGACCAGCAGTGTGAGCTTCGGGTCCAGTTACTGCAGGACTTGCAGGATTTCTTCCGCAAGAAGGCAGAGATTGAGATGGATTACTCAAGGAATTTGGAGAAGTTGGCTGAGAGATTCCTGGCTAAAACTAGGAGCACCAAAGACCAGCAATTCAAGTAGAGTATTTGCCTTTTGTTTTTGCCTCTTTTTTTTTTTTTTCCCCTCCTGTAGATGTGGTCGTGAGGATAGGAATGGAAAAGGGAGTGGATAGAGGGAATGTAGGTAGCAGGAGCAGCAGAGTCAAGTGTTTCCCAAGTTTGTGTTGAACACAGAACCCATTTCATCTTTCTGCACAGCCTGGGTTCTCATTTGGTGTCAGAATTCCTGGTAGGTCATGTGTTGTCAGTAGGGAATGGGATGGGAAGAATTGACATATCTAAAAGATGTCATTTTCTTGGGAAGGTGAGCAAAGCTACAAGCCAGATTTGATGGACAAAGCCAGGATTTCCTTCCCAGTGACTTTGGGCTGGTTTTTTGTGAGTAGCTGTTTCCAATCTGTTCCATGCTGTCAGCTCTCTGCTTTCAGTATCCCACACACACTCAGTGTGGGAGTTGTGTTGTATCTCTGCTACTATCACTTCAAACAGCACAGAAATAAGGCCAACAGTATTTCCAAGTCCAACAGTACTTGCAAACAGAGCTGTGCCATTGGGGGTGGGGGAATCCCTAGATACTGACCTGATGGGACCTAAAGATGTCCTTATTGACAATCTATTGACTCTCCTGCTTGAAACATCATTCACAAGTGGCTCTGACTGTTGTTCCCAGTTAGCTGCATGAGTTGGGATGACTAACGCCCGTGGAACGTTATGGATTCTCAGAGCCTTTTGATCTCCTACTGGCTCCTGCCGGGAGGAAGGTGATTTTCCCAGGAAGGGGATGCAGGACAGGACCTGTGGGTGAAGAAGGAGCTGGTGCAGACTGAGTGGCACAGACACATCAGCCCAGTGAGGAGATGACCAGCACGAGGCCACTGCCCAGAGCTCCTGTCGCTGACATCTGGGCAGTGCAGAGGCTTGTTGGGCTGTGTTGTCAGGGCAGCAGCTGGGGAAAACATGGAGTTGTTGAGCCTTGGGAGCTGAATCATTGCAGCTTTGGACAGATTGGGCTGAGAGGATCCATCTGGGTCTGCCCCCGCCCAAAGCAGAGTAGCATTGTTTGGGTCAGGCCCTTCTCCCTGGTTTGGTGTCCTGTTGTTGCTGTGTTTGGAGGGATGTGGGGACACAGCAGCTTCCCGTTTCCACTAGCAGCTCTTGTTGTGGAAGCCTTTAAGGAGGTACCATTTTAGCTTCCTTTCCTGTACAGCTTTGATGTCGTTTGCTTTGCTTCTCCTTTCCAACACACACATTGTGCTGCACTCTCAGGAAAAGCTGAGGCCCAAGCACAGCTACTGCACAGGCTGGAGGAGAGTTCTTCTGCATCTCTATAGACCTGGCATTGTCTGAAGAGTTTTGTTCTTTTCCTTACAGTCAAAGTGTCCTTACAACCATAAGCTCCATGTATTCAGCACTTGGCTTTAAGCTGGCACTGAAGCAATGATGCCTTGAATTATAATTTTCCTCTGCATTATGATTGGTCTTTTCAGTTTATTTCACTGT